GTCTTTGGTTTAAACAAAAATTAGTTGTGTTTTTTTATAGAGAAAGCTATTTTACTAAAAATGGGACAATCTCGAGTGAATAACTAGATGTAAATTGTTAATCATATATAGGCAGACAACCTGATTATTGGTTGTCTAAGCCCCCTGCTTAGGATGTTCTTGCCCATTTTTGCCTACTCAAAGTCTTGCTAATTCCTAAAGGCCCTGCTTAAATGTCTACTCCTCCAGAGAAACGTCCAGAACTTCTCACCCTACAGTCATCATTAATAACCCCCTTAATCTCTTGCCTTTCTGCTTTAAAACGTCGCAGAATGCTCTGTGTTAGCTTTGCATCTCTTTTATCTCCTCCAAATTGCAGCCTCCTCAAAAGTTCAATCATTGCAATAATAGATGCCAAATAAATGTTAATTGAATGGAATTTGAGAGAGCAATGGAAATATATGTTTAAATAGTGAGACAATACATAATCTAACAATTTGAACTTTGTACTTGGACATATTTGCAAATGTGAAAATTCTGATAGTACACTGAAAGTAGCTTAAATATATAAAAGAACATTAAACATGCAAGCAGTAATGGATCACTATTGCATCATAACCCTGCCTTAGAATATCTAGAAAAGGATCCACAGCCATAGCACTGTTTACTCGGTCACTGTTCAGTATCATGTTACAGTTTAACTGCCCTGATTGCTTCCCTGTATTCGCAAGAGGCAGAGTTCCAGTAACATCACCTTTTTGGTGCTGGCTTGATAGTCTCCATACTTCTTATCTTTTACTTGCACCACATTGTATCCATTCTAAGCTGTGTCACACAACTTACCCAGTTTAGCTGTCGTTTAACAGACATAATAACAGTAACAGCACAGGCACCCATTTGTAACCAAAATTTGGCATGGTACTTCATGAAGAAATTGCAATTGACTAGTGCAGCATGGCCCACCAGTTGAAAACCATGGTCTTAAAATATTTTTCTGATCTAGGTGCCTCATTTTGTAACCTGAATCCAGTCATTTCTATTCTCCTAGAGCTTCTTCTTCTGTGTTTTATTTTTCAAGTTCTGTATTATCTTCAGGGTTCTGCATTGTTTCTGTGTCCCATTGTAGGCAGAATTTTACCTACGTTCCCCAGCCTCTTGTAAAAGTTCCCTGGGTCTATTCCCAGCTGTGAGCAAATCAATTCCAGTTTTAGAGCAGCAAGCCTCATTTCATCCACCACTAGAGAACTCCAATAATCATTTTATTTTCTACTCTTTTCTGTAGCCTGCCACCCTTCATCTTTCATCCAGCTGGAATCTAGTTACTCTGCTTATAACACCCAAAGTCTGATTCTTAACATATCTGTAGTTTATCATAGATACAGTAGCCACATGTCCCAATCTTCCAAGGCAAGTTTCAGTTTATGCCTGTCTTTCCGTGTGATTATTAATAGAGACTCCTTTCACTCTGAAGATCCTGGTTTGGACAACTATGTGTTCACCAGCCACAGAACACATAGAAGATATTTCTTGCTGCTATACAGCTATATCCAAGCAAATACATACATGAACTGGGAGCTTTTCTTTTAAATTACCATTGTTCTCCAATTTGGTTGGCCTATTGTAATTTAAACAAATACTTTTCTAATTATTGTAATTTGTGCAAAATTGGCCATCACTTGGGTAACCTGTTGAAGGTAATCTTTTGAATCTGTTTCCAGGTTACTCTCCTGGCTGAAATTTATGGTATAGAAGGAAACATTTTCAGGCTTAAAATTAATGAAGAGACTCCTCTAAAACCCAGGTTTGAAGTTCCTGATGTCCTCACAAGCAAGCCAAGCACTGTAAGGTAAGCCAAGGAGTGAGGTATCTTAGAGATGCGCCTGATATATTCTTTTATCATATCTTGAGTAGTAAATTTTGTTATGTGCACCTCTTATTTTGACTGTTCAAAACTACAGTCATTTACAGAGTTATAGGTTGGTGCAAAAGTAATTGTGGTTTTTGCCATTACTTTTAATGTATTCAGTTATTTGGGGATAAGTCTATCCATTCTCCTTATCCATTCTGTTTTTTCTTCATCCACCATTTGATTTGTCAGGACTTATTTAACGGGGAGAAGCAGAACTTTGATCCCTGCTCTCCTTCTCACAAAGAAAGTGGTTTTATTAGCCAGACTATGGGAGCAAGTAGAAGGAAAGCTACTTAATTTACTCACTCAGATTAGCAGCAGGGCTCCAGAGATCTAATACACTAGCCGAACTCCCATGCTTACAGTAATTTGTACAGTTGGACACACTCACTTTTAATTAAGGTTATTCTCAGAAGTCTAACATGTAATTTTACTTAGAGTCAAGGTAAATTAATAATCAGTGTCTAGGTGAAAAACAATCTTTGGGGACTAAAGCATTTTCAAGTACCTGCAAAACCTTCATCTGTTCTCATAACACTTTCCAGTGATATTTCAACTCCGTTTTGCTGGTTGGTTTCCATTATATTTTCATATTATTTTACCAAAGGAATATAAGATTATGCCAGATGCTTTCATTTTTACTATATCATCACTGTAGTTTTATGTAAATTATTTTTTCCATGAAAACCTTATAAAAGATCAATACAGGGGGGTCACCAAGATGGCTGAATAGGAACAGCTCCAGGCTACAGCTCCCAGTATGAGTGACACAGAAGACGGGTGATTTCTGCATTTCCAACGGAGGTACCGGGTTTATCTCACTGGGGCATGTCGGACAGTGGGTGCAGGACAGTGAGTGCAGCCCACTGAGCGAGAGCCGAAGCAGGGCGAGGCATCACCTCACCCAGGAAGCACAAGAGCTAAGGAAATTCCCTTTCTTAGCCAAGGGAAACCATGACACACAGCACCTGGAAAATCAGGTCACTCCCACCCTAATACTGCGCTTTTCCAAGGGTCTTAGCAAACAGCACGCCAGGAGATTATATCCCGCACCTGGCTCGGAGGGTCCCACACACACAGGGCCTCCCTCATTGCTAGCCCAGCAGTCTGAGATCTAACGGTAAGGCGGCAGCGAGGCTGTGGGAGGGG